ATAAAATTGAAAGAGAAGCGGTACTGCCAGTGTCATTCTTGGAAGCTGACACTACCCTGATGCTAAAATCAGAAAAGGACCTGACCAAAAAAGAGAACCACAGGCCAATATCTTTAATGATACAGATGCAAAAAGTCCTCAACAAGATATTGGAAAATAGAATACAGCAAATGATAAAGAATGTGTACCATGATCAAGTAGAATTCACTGCAGTGATGTATGGATAACTCAACATACAGAGGTCAGGAGGTGTATTGTATTTACAGAATCAATGAGAAGATTTGCATGATATACCAACAAACATACAGCAAACATTTGACAAAATCCCAAATCTATTAATGATAAAACCCTCTTAAAAATGGAATAGAGGGTCCTTATTTAATCTAATAATGGACATCTATGACAACCCATTAGCCAATCTCATATATAACTGGAAAAAAGCTGGAAACATTTATTCTAGACTCAGGAACAAAACAAGGATGCCCACTATTACCACTCTTGCTTAACATAGTTATTGAAACATTAGCCTGACCAATCAGATAATAGAAAGAAATAAAAAGAATATAGATGGGAAAGGAAGAAGTTAAATTATCATTATTTGCTGTTAACATGACTTTCTATTTCAAAGACCCCAAAAACTCCAGCAAAGGATTTCTAGAATTAATTAAATTTGGTACCATATCAGATTACAAAGTCAACACAAAAAATCAACAGAGTTTCTGTACATTAATAACAAACTCACTGAGAGAAAAAGTAGGGAAAGACGCCTTTCACAGTAGCATAAATAAATGAAGTATTTAGAAATCAACCTAACCAAGGCAATGAAAGACCTCTGCAATGATGAACATGACTGGGGCCATGGTTCCTGGATGAACAGGAACATGGCTATCTTTTCCAGATTAGAGGAGCAAATTAAGTTCATGAACCAAAGGTACCACTGTATGGTGAAAATGGCTATACATACAAAACTGTTTTGTCTATTTAATGCAGTCCCAGTCAAAATACCAATAATATTCCTCACAGACATTGAGAAAGCAATCCTAAAAATCATATGGAATCAGAAGAGACGTAGAATAGCAAAAGCAATGCTGGGAAACAAGGGCAAGGCAGAGGACATCACATTCTCTGATTTAAAATTACATTATAAAGCTACACTGTTAAAAACAGCATGGTATGTCAGAAAAACAGACTCATGGATCAGTGGAACAGAAGAGAAGATGCAGAAACAATACCCAGCACATTCAGCTACCTTATCTTTGCCAAAGGACTAAACACCTTTTCTGGAAGAAAGATAGCCTGAATTTTCATATGTTGAAGACCTAGATCCATATCTCTTACTGTGCACTAAAGTAAAATTGACATTGTTAAAAAAACCTAAATAGTGAAATGGAAACAGCCTGCTAGAAAGTAGAATAGGTAAAACTCCTAAAAAACACAGGTGTGGGCAAGGACTTTATGAGCAAACCTGTGCTTGTACAGTAAATATTACAACAAATGGGGTCATATAAAATTAAAAAAAATTCTGCACAGCAAAGGGAACCACCAACAGAGTGAACAAACAATCTATGGAATTGGAAAAACATTGGCAGCTACTCCTCAGACAGAGCACTAGCATCTAAAACATATAAAGAACTAAAAAAAAATTAGATCCCCCAAATATAGAGGCCTAATTTAAAAAATGGACATCTGAAATGAATAGACATTTGTCAGATGAAAAATTACAAATGGCCCTTAAATACATGAACTTATCTTCAATATCACTGGTCACTTGAGAAATATAAATTAAAATTCATCTTATGCTAAAAAGAATGTTTATCAACAAGAAATCAAATAATAAACAGCGCTGGTGAGGCGGGGGAAAAGGAATCCTTCTCTATTGTTGGCCAAGAGTGTAACTTGGTACAGTCACTATGGAGAATAGTATGGAGCATCCTCAAAAAGGTAAAATTAGAGGTGTCATTTGATCCAGTTATTCCACTCCTAAGTATCCTCCCGAAAGAGTTAAGGTCATCATGCCACAGTGATACAAATATACTCATGTTCATAGCAGCACAATTTACAGTAGCTAAATCCTGGCAACAGCCCATATGCCCTATCAAGAGATGAATGGATAACAAAAGTGGGGACTTGCATACAATGGGGTAAACTTAAAAGGATACTAAAAAGGATAAACTGGAGACATTTTTAGGTAAAGAGACGCATCTCGAGATCATAATCATAGGTGAAATAAATCAGACACAGACGTTTAACTATTGCATTATTTCTCTTATGTGACAAATCAAGTATAAATAAGGAACAAAATGGAGAATAGATCTTAAGAAGCAGGACGAACTTTTTCAAATAGGAAAGGAAATAAGAGGTAGGGAAGAGGGGAAGGAAGGGAAAAGGAATTCAAAGGTAAAAAAAGAATTGAAGGAAAAAACTGAAACAAGGCTTCTGTAAATGGGGAGGGGAAATAGAGAAGAGTAGGAGGGGAATAAAAAAAGCATGAAGGCCCCCCATTGGAGACCCCTCCTGGAAATCCAGGAGCCATTCTCATTCTCTTTATTTCCAATAAAAATTCTCCTCACCTCCCCCAAAATTTAAGATTGTTATGTGCATACAAAAATCCCACATGATGAATGATGATGAACAGGTACTGCAAAAAGGTTCAAAATGAACTTTAAGCAATATCTAGATTATATAAGGAGCTCCCAAAATGGCAAAATATAACCCAATTAAAAAATGAATAACAGAACAAAACAGACATTTCCTAAGAAAATATAGCCAACAGGTGCATGAAAAAACTGCTGAAGGTCACTGATCATCAGGAAGATGTTAATTAAAGCCACAAGGAAGTGTTACTTCATGTCAGTATGAATGACTATTACTCAAAACACAAAAGACAGCAAATGTTGGTGCTGATGTAGAGAGAAGGGCACTCACATACACTGCTAGCAGGAATTTGGATTAGTACAGGCATTATGAAAAGCATAAGTTCTTTTTATGCTTAAGTGAAAATTCCTCAAAAAATTAAAAATAAGAACTAGATGTGTAGTTCATGTGCATACTATTTGTCTAGTATACACAAGTCCCTGGGTTCAACCCCGAGTATTACAAAATAAAAAAAAAACTACTAAGTCATTCATCAAGGCTGCTGCTGCGTGTATATCTGAAGGAAATGATCGGTATTTTGAACAGACTTCTCCTGTGTTTATTCACCACAGATGAGAAGGAGTGATTGAAGTGTTTAGCTGATACAAACGAATGAGTGAAGACAATCTGGTACATACACACAATGGAATGCTATTAAGCCACAGACGTGAAATCCTGTAATTTGTGACAACATGGGTGGAACTGGAGATCATTATGTTAAATGAAATATATCAGGCATAGAAAGATAAGTACTGCATGATCTCACTTATATGTGGACTCTGCAAAAGGTGAGCTTGTAGAAACAGAATAAAATGGTGTTTACCAGAGGTTTGTGGTTATTAGAGTGGGAGGTCATCACCGTTGTAAACAGAGCATGGGGGGGGGCGCTGATCAACGGGTGCCAAGCTATAGTTCAATAGGCTTAAGAAGTTCTTATGTGCTATGGCACTGGAAGGTGAATACAGATAATAAGTATACACTGATATCTCAAAAAGTAGAAGAAAAGATTTTGTATGTTTACATGATAAAGAAATGATGAATGTTTGAGGAAATACATTTATCTTGATAAAAATGTTATGCAACATGTACATGTGTGAAAACATTACACCTCATTCATTCATAGAATTTATTTATTAATTAAAATTTAATTTAAAAGGTGTTGGGGTTAATTACATAGTAAAATAACAAATATGGGAATAAAATGAAAATAAAGTTGACATATCAATTAATATGTGTCAGAGTGGTCTAAATAAAATCAAATACACTTTTTTCAGATGGTTATACAGAGAAGTGTTTCCTCGCCAAATTCATGGTAAAATTTTAATTTTAATGTTCTTTCTGGAAGCAATCTGTAAGTATCTTTTACCATTAGAAATCCATCTATATTTAAACAAAAACTTCAATTCTGAGACTTTATTCCAAGTAAACAAATATACAAATATCCAAGAATATACACACATGGATACATTTAGTACTATTTAAAAGACTAAGAAATCTCAATGCTTTCATAGGACTAGTGATTGAATAAAATACTCTAAGTCTATAATCTCATTAAAAACAATAAAACCATTTCATTTTCACACATGTGAGGATTTCCTTAAGATATTGTTGGATAAAAACAGAAGATGAAAAGGTAAATAAAAAGCATGAATTTAAACTATTTCAGGCATCATATTATACTGCTGCTATGTGCATATTATTGCAGCACGACTAAGCCTTGGAAGCAGCTTATATATCCATCAACAGATGAAGAGCAAACGTGGTGTTTATGCACAACGGAGGATTAATTCAGCTATAAAGAAGGGTAAACAGAAGTCATCTGTAGGAAAATGGAGCCAGGCATCATGGTGCATGCCTGTAATCCCAGTAGCAAGGAGGCTGAGGCAGGAGGATTGCTGCCAGTTTGAGGCCAGCTGAGGATACATGATCAGTTCAAGGCCAGCCTTAAACTGCACAGCGAGATCCTATCTCACAAACAAACAAAACAAAACCCCAAAACATTAGAAAGAAAAAAGAAAAATGGATGTATCTTGAGACCATAATGTTAAGAAAAATGAATCAGACACATGAGCTTAAATACCACATGGGTTCTCTGAAAATAAATAAATAAATAATGTAAATATAAATAATATAGAAGATATATAGTGGCAAGTAGGGAGATAACTCCTTCTTAAATAGGAAGGGGATGAAGAGATGGAGGCAGGACAAGGTCTGGGAGGGAGGAGCTCAAAGAGAATTAAGCTATACTACATAAATATATCAGTTCCAATCACTCAGCACTGCAAATATGCACTAAAAATAAGTGAAAACAAACCAAATTACTATAAGTACTTAGATACTTATTTTATATATTCTTAATCTTTTACCTTCCTTGGGAAAGGGTGATAAATTGATCACTTTTGTTGGAAATTTACTTGGTGTGGCTTTCCTAGTACCTTCTTGAAGTTTCATTGATGTATCTTTGCTTTTAAGTAAGTTCACATCTAAAATACAATTTAAAAAGAAAATTGCATAAATATTCTGACTACTCACATACGGTGCTCCACATTTGGTATGTTAGCCTTTATTTCTGCATGTATATTTTTTCCCATATCTTAGTGAATGGCCACTAGTTTATCACTAAAGTTACTATAGTCTTTCATCATTTTCTCTTTTGTTTTTGCTCTGTGTCTTGTGATAGCATCTTCCTTACTTTTTTTGAGACTGTGTATCACTATGTAGTATAGGCAGGAATTGAACTGGCTTATGTAGTCCAGGCTGGCCTTGAACTCACAGCAATCGTTCTGCCTTGGCCATCTGAGTGCTGAGATTACAGGCATGCACCACTACGCCTAGTTCTTCCTTCATTTTGACCTTTACCCCGTCCTCATTTTGCTCTGTGCCATATATTTCATTCCACATTTTTAGGGTATATTTTAAAAGATACATTTAGAGAGATTGTTTTAAAAAGCAAATCTTTGTGTATAAGCTACTGAATCTCCCCTGCCTATTGCAACTGACATTTGTTAAATTTATTTTTTAAAATACTATTTATTATAAAAATAATAGATGTTACCATACAAAATTTCTATTTAAACAGAATTATAAACCTTATATTCTATAGTTTTGGCTGGAGATTAAGCAGAAGCCAGAGGCTGAGAGGTAAAGACCGTGAAGAGAATAAATTACTGTTGAAACAGAGGTCATGGCTATGATAGCCATTCACATTTATAAGATGACAGAAACTACAAAAAACCTGTAAGAACTAAAAACAGAAAATTTAAAACATGTAAGGAGGATGAGCTTATATTATCAAATTTATGTATATTTTATGTATTATTTGCATGAAAATATATGTACAAAATTGCACGAAGATATTTTGATGCACTTTCATATTAGGTGGAATGCAATTGACGATGTAGGTGGTCATACCCAATGACCTCTAATTTCAACAGCTATTCCAAATTAAAACACATTTTAATAGTTTTGATAAGGTTGTAAAAAAGTATATGCTAGAGACCAAAAATGGAGAAAAAATTTAACATGATAATTTTTCCCCAAACAGTTTGTATATGTGGTATGTATTTTTAATAAAATATAATTGACATGGTATAAGGTAGGATATAAATGAGAAGATTGTGTAGGGAATTCATCAGTGAAAGAAAAATTAAAAAATGAGACAACAAAAATTTTGGAAAATACACAGAACATTATTATATAGAGTTTATAACTTCAGATGATAAGATCTGAGAAAGGAGGGAACAGGATTATGACAGTATAGGAAGGGAATAATAAACATATTGTTAGTTTATATTAATCTTTGCTAGGATCTGAATGCTTGTGCCCCTCAAAATTCATGTGCTGAGACCTAATTACTCTGGGATGGTACAGGAACTGGGGTCTTTAGCAGGTAATTGAGTTCCATAGGCCCAGTTCTCATGAATCGGATTAGTACAACCATAAAAGAGGCCCTGGAGAACTGCTCTGCCCCTTGTCCTACTTGAAGACACAAAAAGAGGTGGCATCTACGAAGCAGAAAACAGCACTCAGCAGACGCTGCATCTTCCAGCACCTGGACCGCAGGCTTCCCCACCGAGGGAACAGGAAGAAATGGATTTCACTTTTTGAAATAGATTTTTCAGTTTAAAATAGTTCTGTTACAAAAGATAGCCTTTATATATTTTCTGAGTTTTTCTAGGTAAATAGATACATGGTTATACATTATTATTTTTACCTTGATTTTCCACAAACAATTTTGTTGGCAGTTTATGTAGCCCAGGGTGCTTGTAAGTATCTTTTTGAAGTTGTATGACGTTATTTTTAAATAAACTCATATCTAAAATAAAATTTAAAAACAAAAGTCATATAATGACACTATGACTTATTTATACATATTCTTAAAAGGCATATGTTAGTCTTCCTTTATTTGTAATTTTTCTTTCCACATTTTGAAGAGTGATTTCTTGCCTATTATTGCAGAATCTAAAAAGTGTTTTATTACATTCTCTTCTTTGCCTTTTGTTGTGTTCCTTTTTTTCTATGTAGTCCTTACTTTTGACCTTTATACAAGCATCAACTTATTTTGAACAAGAATATTCATTTTTATATTTGATTTTAACCTTCCTTTCAATTTCTTCCTCTTAACAATTTCCATCTTTTAAATTGTATCGGGAAATTGTTCATTACAACCTAGTTGCACATAAATTAATTAGCACAAAGGTTCTTAATAGGTATTTTATTTTAAATTCATTTGGTTTAAATGAGAGCATTTTACTGCTGTGTCTAAGACTATTATTTAATAATAACAAAGACTAATTTATTTAGCAACTCTGAATTAGAAAGTAATTGAAGGCACCTAAATAAAAATACCCTGAAAATTACAGACAAAAAATGCCTATCATCACCACCAAATGTCTTAGAGTGAAACAAAACAACAACAAAAAATCTGAATGCTTGGTTAAAACAATTTCATTTTTTCAACACCAGCTTCCCTCAGTTACAAAACGTTGCAGTAAATACGCAGTACCTAATTTGGTTTATTTTTCAGTAATAAAAGTAAGGCTTTATTGACATAACTGTAGCACTGAAAACCAAAGTTATAGAAAACTTGCCTTGAGTTTAATTCTATAGACACACACATTTTGGTGCTTGTATCTGAAGATCAAGTTCCCTGGTGAAATCTCCTTTCCTGGTTCACAGACTGCTCCTTCGGGTTTTGGACTTACAGCTGAGCAGAGGGAAGGTACATTTCGGGGATCACTTTTCTGAGGTACTCTTATGGTTTGTGTTTGGATGATCCCCCCAAAGCTCCTGAGCTCATAGGTGGGGCTTTTCAGAACTGGATGGACCTAGGTGTGTGACACTGGGATTAAGGGTGTGTGGTCGTGAATCAGTCCACTGATTGGAACTAGCATGGTTCTGGGTGAGATCGTGGAAGCCCCACTCTAGGTGTGTGTGGCACCAATCAACAGGCTTTCAGTCTGGGTGAAACACAACAGGAGGCTGGTTTTTGTTACTTACTGCTTTTTGGCTGCCTTACTATGGAGTATTTCTCCTCAATGATGCCCCTCTGCTGTGCAGTCAGCCAGCTACCAACTAGAACCCCTATACACTGTGAGGTAGAATAAACCTTTTCTCCTCTAACTTGTGGGTGCCAGGTATTTTTTCTCAGGAAGAGGAAAAATAAGTAAAATAGGCACCATTCAAAAATTCCAAGCTGTACCTTTCACAATCAACTCAGACAAAAAAGTTCATTACTATAGTCTTTCTAGGATCAAAGAACTGTGTGTGATATTGTTATCCTGAACTGAAAATGGTAGTGTAATTTCCAAGCAATACTATACAATTATAGGACTTTATTGAAGGTAAGACACTACAAATGTGTATGACAATTTAATTATTGATAAAGAATTGGTAATCAACTATAACTATTATAGTATTATTGTCATTATATTCATAAGTCAGTATTTCTGCTTTTTAAAAGACAGTGCAATGCTTCTATCTACGGCAGAGATAGAAAGTGAGTAGAAAAGCATTGGAAAGAGTTCCAGCAAACATATTCTTTTTTTTTTTTTTTTTGGTCTTTTTCCTTTTTATCGGTACCAGGGATCGAACTCACGACTGCCTGCTTGAAAGGCAGGCACTTGTGCTGCTGAGCTAAATCCCCAGCCCCTTCAGCAAACATATTCTAAGGTCATTAGGGAACTGAATTTTTATAGATTATTTTCTAAATATAAAAAAATTGAAATTAATAGTCTAGCTACTATACCATGATGGTATACATGCTAGACTGTAAGTATAGGCAGATATTAATGATGTATTTTACCTAACACCTAACATATAGGTACTATTGCCATTGTATATATATACTTAACTCTAAGAATACACATATAACCTAAATATTAGGCTTGCATACTTCTGGTTCTTACCTGGAAAACTCTTTAATCGTGTCTTCACTGGCTCCTTTGTTATACTTTCACCAACAGTAATTGCCAAGGGTTCTTTGTTAGTATCTAAGGAATTAAAAGGGATTTCAAAACTGATCAGAAGAGAAAAAGGTCACTACAAAATAGGAAAATAAACAATTCAATGCAAAAGTTATAAATACAGGGCCAGGGATTTAGCTCAGTGGCATAAGCACCTGCCTGTGCAAGCAAGTTCAATTCCCAATACAAAAAAAAAATTATAAATATGTATGCACAAATACTGGTGAATCAAATAAAACAAATTCTACTGGATATAATAGGTCAGATGAACATCAACACAATGAATGGATAAAATATATATGTATATATATATTTTGTCTTTTTCCTTTTTATTGGTACCAGGGATTAAACTCATGACTGCCTGCTTGCAAGGCAGGCACTTATGCCGCTGAGCTAAATCCCCAGCCTGATATATATATATTTTTAACCAAGGATTGAATTCAAAACCTTGCACTTGCCAGACAAGCCCTTGTGCCATTGAGCTAAATCCCCAGCCCCAATGTATGTTTCAGTTTGCCATAAAGAAGAATAAACTTGAGACATTTCTAGTAAATGAATAGTACCTTGTAATAGTACCTAGTACCTTGAGACTATATTTTTAAGTGAAATAAATTGAACACACATGTTTAAATATTGCAGTTTCTCTGGTGTGAGAAACTAAAAGTCTAAATAAGGATCAAAATATATAATTGATATTGTGAAATAGGAATTATGCATGTTCATGTTATCTTGGCTGTTTCAAGTTATTTACTTGTATCTTCAATTTCATTGACTAATAGTGGGTTATGTAGAATTTGTACAGCTTTTTTAGAAATTATTTTTGTTTTATCTCTATCTACTATTGATTCACTAATCATGTTCTTCATTATGGTTATCATCTCTAGAGTTATCTGTGAAATTATTTTTTTTTCCTACCATTCAGATTTTTATTAGCACACTTCTGAACTCTCAGCACTCAGGAGATTGAGGCAAGGAGGATTGTTGCAAATTTGAGACCAGCCTAGGTTACAAATGGAGCCCAAGGCCAGCCTGAACTGCATATCCTGTCTCAAAAAAGACAAAAAAATTTTCATCAATGAAATAGAGAGCTCTCAAGATCTGGCCATGGTGGGACTCAGGCAGCTTATTCACCTGCCCTCTTGGTAAGTGCCTGCGGCATGGGCCAGGAGGAGAACCAGAACTTCTGAGATCTGGCCATGGTGGGACTCAGGCAGCTTATTTACCCACCCTTTTGGTAAGCACCTGTGGCGTGGGCCAGGAGGAGAAATAGAACTCCCGAGATCTGGCCATGGTGGGACTCAGGCAGCTTATTCACCCGCTCTCTTGGTAAGTGCCTGTAGCATTGGCCAGGAGGAGAACCAGATCTCCCAAGATCCGGCCATGGTGGGGCTCAAGCAGCTTATTGTTCTGCCCTCTTGGCAAGCACCCACGGAGTGGGCTAGGAAGAGAACCATTACCTGTGAGCCTACTGTCATGTGGGTGGAAAATCAAGCACACTCCCCACCGCCTCCCCCTCCCCCAGCTACTGGGGATAGATGTCTCAGCATCTCTTGGGAGGATGACCATGTGAAGTACAGCAAATATGGGGGATTTCCTTCTATCTTCTGTTTGAAGGCAAAGGTTGTTTTCACTGTTTTGTTATGTTTCTTTTGCTTTATTCAGTACTCTCAATTGTTTTTTTTAATTATTTAAAGAGAAAGAAAGAAACAAACAAACAAACAAAAAAAAACCAAAAAAAGCCCAGAGGAAAAAAAAGGGTAGAAATAATACAGAATTACAGAAAAATAAACAGTAAGAAATCACTAGTTGATAAGTTACACTTGTCATTTTAGAAATAGTTGTTCAGGTTACAAAATGAAAGTATACAAAGTGACATTCAAATAGTGACACTGCCAACAATTCTGCTCAATGATCCAACAAAAACTTAGTAATATGGTTATCAGTCCTACACACTTGTTTTTTATCTTAAAGAGGGTAAGATTAAACATATCAAAACAGAACAAAACAGTTCATAAAGAAACAATTTAAAGAAATACATATTTCAAAACAAGTCCACTGGAGATCTTCATGTCTATCTTACTGTCTCTGGTTTTCTTCAAAATAGTTGCTCCCATCTTCACACACATTGAATACATACTGCATATTATAGAACTAATCAAATCATTACAGGATGATGAAGGCTTTTTTAGGTCTTCAAGACCTGATGTTGGGGAAGTCAATAATGACTACCATAGTGTCTCTCATTCTCTTCGTAGTAGCTGTCCTTATCCTTTATGTATGCTGAAACTGAACTTAAGAGACTAGACTAATATCACTCTGAACAGTGAATAATAGTATTACTAGATTTTATATCATAATGTTATAGAGTTAGCATTGGGTTTCTTAGTGTCTGTTCTTCAGAGTATCTGTTCATTACATTGTGTATTATATAATCTGTTCCTGTAAATAGTTTAAAAAATTCTTCCCATGTGTGAATTTCTACATGTATATCTATCCTCTCTGTATTATAGGGAAAAACAGATCATAACAAGACAACAAAACAAATTCCTAGAAAAACATGCAATGAAAAAGACACATAAGGCCACAATATTAGGTGATCTACTGTAGTTACTATGCTTTCTCTTGTTATTTTCAATAGACTTGTCCACATCATCAGGCTTAATATAGTTAAGCATAGTATTACATAGCTATTTTTATAAAAACACAACTTTGAAGATATTGTAGGACTTGAGAGTGGTTGATAATCAAAACTGGTATGGATATCTTTTATATCTTGTCATCTTCAGAGTAGTTGCCTCTACTTTTAGACTTGATATTATCGAGCATACCAAATTCAAATAAAATCAGTCAAGACAAAACTGCGGTCTAACAAACCAGATTCAAATAAGGTCAGTCATAGTAAGACAATGTAAGTAATACAGGGTTTCAGTTTAAGTTAATAGGAAATTAAGGACAGTTGCCATGGTATAACCTGCTATTTTTGGTTTAGATGTCTGTGCCCTCAAATCTGATATGAGTGGACAGACCAGAACAAAATAAAATCAAACTAAACAGAGTGATAAGACTACTGTGACTTTTAAATCCTAATAACACTATTAACAATTTTTTATTTTAGTGTATCAAGGCTATCTATATTAAAGATTATAGCTTACCATCTCTGCCTCATGTCTGCTACTCCACTTTACTGCTATAATTTGTCCACCTTACTCCCTCATTCCACTGTCGGCCCCATTCATTGAGGCCTCTCTTCCATTGTTGCTGGAATCCTGGTATCCCTTCCTCTCTCTCTCTCTGGAATGTCCTTCAGCATTCTTTGTAGAGTTGGGTTGGGGGCCATCAACTCCCACAGTTTCTCCTTGTCTTGGAAACATCTAATTTCTCCATTAATTTTGAGAGAGAGTTTTTCTGGGTAAATCAGTCTTGGTTGCAAATTATTTTCTTTCAGGGCTTGGACTATTTGCCCCCAGGCTCTTCTCGATTTGAGAGTTTGTGTTGATAAGTCTGTTGTTATTTTGATATTTTTTCCATTGTAGGTAATCTGCTTCTTTTCTCTGGCTGCTTTTAGTATTCTGTTCTTTTGGTGGATTTCTGGAATCTTGATTATTATATGCCTGGGTGTAGATCTGTTTTGGTTGTAGGTGGCTGGAGATCTGTATGCCTCATTTATCTGGATATCATTTCTTTTTCCTATGCTTGGGAAGTTTTCATTTATTATACTTGTGAATAGTCTTTGTAGTTCATTTTTGGTTACTCCTGCTTCTTCACTCACGTGCTTTATTCTAAAGTTATGTATCCTTTTGTCGTTTTCTAGCCTTTGGATTCTTTCTGGTTCCTTGTTATTTTTAAGAGGTCTTTTCTTTTGCAATCATGTATAATAAATCCCTCTTCAAGTTTCAAAAGGCTAACTTTAGTTTCTGTCAAGGCATTTTACCAGTTTTCAATGGAGTTTTTAGTTTCCTGGTAATCTTTTAGAATCTGTTTCATGTATCCTAGGTTATGTTTAAATTTTTCATCAAAGGTTTCTCTTTCTTTTCTAATTTCCCCCATTCTTCCATCTGTGTTCTCTTGGGAGAGGCTTATCATTTCTTTAATTAATCTTTTTATATCTTGCCTCACTTGGATCAGAAGTATAGTTTTCAATTCATCTATGAGGTCATGAAGGTATTTCTTTATGTCCACTGATGCTGTGTCTAGTATTGGATGATTACTGCACTGGTTCTATTCTGTATTTTCTTCTTCTGGGCTTATTTTCCCAGGTTTGGCAGCTGGAGATTTTAAAAAATTTCTATCTCTTGTCATGTTTCTGGTTTCTTTCAGACTGCTGCGTCCTGGGGGGCTCTCTGTATTGCTTAGGGTCTTTCTGAAGCATGTTGACTGGGGTTTTGCTGCCTTCCCCAATTTGCTGTTATCTGAGGTACATGCAGGGATGCAGGGACAGTGCAGGATAGCCTCAAGCCTCTCAGCCAGTCAATCCGCAAGTTAGGCTGTACCTTGTGGATGTCATAGAGTCGTGACAATTTTGTACCCGCTTATTGGGTCCTAACCAGAGGCGTAGCTCAGCCCCAGCAGACCCTGCAAGTTCTCTCTGTGCCAGGGGCATCTGACTGATGTCACTGCAGCACCGGGCTCTGCCCAACTCCAAGATGTCCTTCGCCAGTCCTCTCTGTGCCAGGGATGATTATCTGACGTAACCACGGTGCCAAGCTCTGTCCAACTCTGTCATGGCTTATATCTGTGTCCCCCAGGCCTCATGAGTTTGAACTGTGCATTTGTTATTCGTTCATTGTCTAGTGCTTGGATTGATGGTGTCAGTGCTCCACCTACATAGGGGTGGAACCAGGATGTGATGTAATGGCAGGAAGAAGGTGTGTCTGGCTCTTTCCTGGTTCTGGCTTGCTGTTGGTGGCTGCCATGAACTGCAGCCCAGCCAGGCCTGCCTGTCTTGGAGCCAACTAAGTGTGGACTGAAACCTCCAAAAACTGTAAGAAATAAACCTTTCCTTTCCCAACTTTGGGCTTCAAGTATTT